GGTTATATCAATGATTGGGGGGGCGAGGAACAGACATTAGAGTTATGATCCTGCAAACTGGCAATTTAGAATCCAAAATAAACACTATTTCAAGATATAGTGAATAAGGGCCTTTGCAGACTGCCAGAAATAGTGCACATTAAATTGAGGCACTGCCCTGGCTCAGTGCTAGGGAGTCATGGGAATTGTATTTTTTTCTGAGACATTGAGCCTTCTCTGTCAGAGAGCTCTGGTGCCACAATAAATTATAGTTCCCATGATTCCCTAGCACTGAGCCAGGGCAGTGCCTCAATTTAATAATGTGCACTATTTCTGGCAGTCTGCCAAGGCCCTAAATTACACTCAGATTTTGGGAAGTGGGTCAGGCTGAGAACTTTTCAGCATCCTCTCATAATTATTCCTTGCCTTTTTCAGACTGTTGGAACCAAACTGCATATGAAGATTTCCTTAGGATTGGGGTTCTCCTTAGGAATGGTTTGCATTTTTACAGTAGTAGTACTGAGGTATTTGAACAAAGGGGAAGATTGGAGTTTCTGTAATTTCTCCCCCTTAGGCTATATTCCTACTGTAAATAGCATTCCTGTGATTATCCCCATGACCTTCAGGAGAACAGAATAGCCTGAGGGGAAGAAATTAAGAAGCCTCTTTCCTTTCTACCTCTCTCTTTCAGTGTTTGCAATGGGAGGTGGGGTAATATCCATAAATACAACAGAGGAGTTTTCACAATTTAGTTCAACCCCCGTATCCATGGGATTGGTAACTGTGGTATCACTTACCCGTGTCTGGAAAGAAGATTTCTCTAGGCATCTGGAGTCCTCCAATGGGACTCCATGGTTAACGTTTGACAGAATTATAGCATGGGGTTGCCAGGCATTTCAGAGGTACACAAAATCATATGGAAGGGGTCTCATAGTCTGTTGAGTCCAATCCCTTGTTCAATACACAATCTCCAGCTAAAACATCCCTGACAGGTAGCTGTCCAGACTGTTTTTTCCAGAGGAGACCCACCACCTCTCTAGGCAATTGATTCCATTGCCAAACCACTTGTACTGTCAAGAAGTACCTTCTGATGGTCAGTCGAAATCTTGTAATGTCAGCCCATTAGACCTGGTCCTACTCTCTGGGACAGGAAAGAACAGGCCTGCCCCTCCATTCTTTGTCAGCCCTTGAAGTATTGAAAAAGTGCAATCATGTCACCTCTCAGTCTTCTCTTCACCAAACAGAAAATGCCCAGCTCCTTCAACCTCCGTACCTCTTATCATCCTTGTTGCCCTGCTCTGAACCTGTTCCAGCTTGCCTAAATCCTTCTTCAATGAGGCACCCAAACCTTAATGCAGTACTTCAGAAGGAAAAATAAAATGAAGACAATTGAACAAACTAGGCTAATGCTAAATTACAAAATCCAGTTGGGCATATTAAAATTAGCTGGGAAATTGGAAAAAATAGACATTTGAATATGTGCTTAAAATTATGGGATAAATATATGTTGTCTGTGTTCACATTTGAACAGCGTAATGAGATTTTTGAAGTATTTGTTTTGTAGTTCTGCTGTAGTTACTAGCCAAATTATATGCATCATTGACATTTATCAACTGAATGTTGAGAGTTGTTACTGAACTACTGATAATTGAGTAGTTATGTTGGTGTCAATTTAGAGACATTTATGAGGGAAATGTGTTAAAACATATAGTTTCAGCCTTGGTTGTTCTCTCACAAAATGAGGTTATATTTCTCATCCTGTAAGTTTGCTGAGGTTTACGGAGTAACTTCCACTAATGCTGTATTGTGGAGAAAAGAGAATTACTTGTTAATGAATCATGATGTCTCTTAACTTTGGGTGTGCCAGCGAAAATGATTCTGAACTGGTTTCAGTGGAAAGTGTTTTGCCTGGCTATGAGTCATTCTGTAATTGGAGATTTCTGTAACAGAAAAACATCTTTTGTCCTAAGGGTTTTAAAGAGTATCAAAGCAGTACTGTATACTTCTGAAGAGGAAGTGTTTACAATGTAACTTCCATATAGATCTTTTTCACTGCTTCTCCAGTGGTATTATCTGCTTCTGTTTCATAAAATGGTGGCTAGTTATGTTAATGTGCCTGGTTAAAAACATAAAATAGCAGTGAACTGTCTGTGAAAAAGGCCTGAAGCAGTTTTCTTTCATGTACAATAAAGGGATAAGTTAATCATATTCATATATCTAGTTATTCATCTGGTCTTCTAGCCGATTCAATGTAAGGGGGAGATGTATATGTCGCTACTTCTTCCCACAAAGAAGTGTCTCACCATTTCAGCAGTATGTTATTTAGTAAAACCATCCCTCCCCACTCCATTGACTTGGAGAAATGATGACAATAAAAACTTCTCCTCTTCTCCATTGCACCTGCATACTTATCAGACTATCATTGTTAAGTCAGGGCTATTGCTCTAGTAGTAACGCCTGTTGCTGGACATAGTCATTGCTTGTGAACTTATTCCATTGCTTAATTGTGTGGCATACTACATACAATAGTGAGACTGCATCCCTATCAAGCCTCTGTTTAAAAACCTCCAAAGAAGGAAACCACCACACTCTGAGGGAGTGTGTTCCATTGTTGAATAGCTCATAACCATCAGGACGTTCTTCCTAATGTTTAGGTGGAATATCTTGAATCCTTGTTCCATGTCCATGCAGAAAACAAGCTTGCTTCATCCTCAATATGACGTCCCTTCAAATATTTAAACACGGGATACAGTTTTCACATGAGGTCTGACCAAAGCAGAATAAAGTTGCACTATTACTTCCCTTGATCTAGACACTTATTTTTCTACACACACACCCCTTTTCTGTACTCTTCCAAGAGTAGCTGTGAGATTACATGTTTTACTTCAGCTAAAATAGTACTTAGTTGTTTGTGGGGTGATCTGAACACCCTGGACATTGAGAAGTAATTCACTGTTCTTTTTTTAAAGGAAAATCTTCCCACTTCTGCAAAAAAACACATAAATATATATAGACATTCAGTTTTGCTCTACATGATCAAGGGACGGAAGAGATACCGTATTTTCCGGCGTATAAGACAACTGGGCGTATAAGACGACCCACCACTTTTCCAGTTAAAATATAGAGTTTGGGAAGAGTATGACTTCCAAAACTGTTGTTGTTGTTGCTGTGCACCTTCAAGTCATTTCCAGCTGCTGATGACACTAAGGCAAACCCACCATGAACCTCCTTATACCCGGCGTATAAGACGACCCCCCCACTTTAACCCCAGATTTTGCAGGTTAAAAAGTAGTCTTATACGCCAGAAAATAAGGTAATTGTTTATGCTCAAGCATTTTGGAAATTCATGGAGTTGCCATAAATTGACAGATGACTTAAAGACAAACACACACACACATTTTGGAGTAGAAATTGTTCATTGTGGCTTTGGACATTATAGATGAGCACTACTGATCACTTCTGTTGTTACATCCCATATTATGCTTGTAATTTTCAAAATACCCATTAATAACAAAATGTGGAGACGTGGGTGCACCAGTGCATAAAAACCTTAACTATAGTTGTTGTGTCAAAAACATTATAAAATAGAAGCCAGAACTGCAGTGCTGCTTACACAAATGCCCAGAGCTGATTGTGTCAGTAAGTTTCTTGCCATACTTATTAATTGCTTTAATTTAGGAGGGGTATTGAATTTCTTCTTCTAAATCTAGGAGAACTATTGAATCTCTGGATTACTGTGTTGCATGCAGATTTAGGATCTCCTTTGTCAGTCTTCAGAGAACTCTGCAAAATTGGAGACATGGAGCTTTTCCCAAAGAGTTTCCTTTGCAGTGCTTCCTGCAAAAATAACAAGTTTGACCTCAATCTTTGTGGCTTATTTCTGCTTCTTGTGTAAAAGAATATAAAATGCATTGGGTCTAATGTTCCTGTTTCTCTTAACAGGCATTCGTTACAGTACAGAAGTGAGTGTTGATGAAGTGAAAGCTCTGGCTTCTCTAATGACATACAAATGTGCAGTAGTTGGTAAGTAATGCTTGTTAAGGTACATATCTAATCACTCATTCTTTGTTGATGCTAAATAAGAACCTTAAGTTGATTCATAAGTTCATTTTAAATCTTAAAATTTTCCATAATAGCTTTTAAGTATATAGAATAGAGGTAAGGAACATGTAGTTTTGCCAAGTGTTGGATTACAGTTTGTGTCAGCTCTGTTTGGCATAGCTAATTGTGAGGGATGATGGCAGTTGCAGAATTACATATTTTTCTTTCAGTTCTGCTTAAATTGTTCTTTTTTAATGAAGCAATGTTCTACTTAGAATTAAAAGAAATTCTAAGTTAGCACTGAACTAGTTGAACGGGATGAGAGTAGAAACTATTCATGTTTGTAAATTTTATTTTGATTATTCATCTTATTTCTTCATATGAATTTCCATGTCTTTCATGGGAGGGGGGGACTTGGTGCTTCAGAAATTGGGACAAATTTTTTACACATGCTTGGGAACCATCACAAACCATTCTACAACTTCAGGTTAACAAATGTTGGCTACATGCCCCAATATATTTTGAATTCATTAATTTCCCAGTCAATAACCAAACAGTCTATGTCTCAAAAATCAGAAAGAGAAGTGAAGGATCAAACAGGATAGTGGGTTTGAAAATGTGTGGAATCTGTCTTTGGCTCAGTAGAATTCAACTTTTCACTTTCTAGATTTTATTCCTTTATCTTTGTTTTGTAACTAATGATCAGTGTACAAAGCCCTAAACAATCAAAACTGATCCTCTCTAGTATGTTTGTTCATTTTCAGTTACTCTTACTCTGCACTATTATCAGTTGTTTTAATATAAGCACAAAAATTTATTTTCAGATGTGCCGTTTGGTGGTGCAAAGGCTGGTGTTAAGATCAATCCTAGAAATTATACAGTAAGTCTACACACCATAGATATATGCTTTACCCAGCATGTTTAGGTTGAGAAGTAGTGGGTTCTGATAATTTTTACTGTAGAGCATACATTCTTAAAAAGGCCAGTGTGGTGTAGTGGTTTGAGTATTAGATTATGACTCTGTAGACCAGGATTCAGATCCCTGCTCGGCCATGGAAACCCACTGGGTGACCTTGGGCAAGACACATGCATTCAGCCTCAGAAGGAGGCACCAGCAAAACCTCTTCTGGCAGTGTGCTGTTCTTCAAAGACATTACAAGATTGGATTTAATCACACTTCCCTCACCACTCCAAACTTTAGAGTTGCAGCAAATAATCATTCCTGCAACTGTACTGCAGTTCCAAGGTATTTGTGATACCTTAGAAGTGTGAAAACCAGCCCCAACTCTTCTCAAAACAGCCGAGCAGCAGAAAGGCAGGAGGGCTGATTCTTAGGGGGGGTTGCAAACTGCCAGAAATAGTGCAGATTGAGTCCACTTTTAGGGTTAGGGTTAGGGAATCATGGGAACTGTATTTTTTGTGGCACTAGAGCTCTCTGACAGAGAAGGCTCAATGTCTCAGAAAAAAAATTCCCATGATTCCCTAGCACTAACCCTAACCCTAAAAGTGGACTCAATTTGCACTATTTCTGGCAGTCTGCAACCCCCTTAGAGTTACATTCCATTTCCAAGGTGCATCTGAAGCAAAGCAGAGCAGTGGAGCTGTCACAAGCTGAGTTGTGTGTTACCAAGGCTAGAAAAGCAAATGGGATGGAAACACTCATGTTGTACATACCTTAACTTGGTAACATAATAACAGATGTATAAGTGGTTGCTGTCTAATTAACTGGATTTAAGCTGTGTTTTTGTTGTTGTTACAGGATAATGAATTAGAAAAAATCACAAGACGGTTTACCATAGAACTAGCAAAGAAAGGCTTTATTGGTATGTAATATGGCAATTACTGTGCAGATTTCTGTGGGAAATGTGGTCTGGCTATATTCTCTGCTTTCATTCTTCCATAAAAGTAAAAGCAGTCACCAGAGTATTCAGGTATCATAGTGTAACCATTGCATCTATCACCTCTGAATATATATAAGACTACTAGAGAGCTTTTAAAGTCTTCCAGTAAAACTGCTGAATTAGAAGTGATGATCTAGCCTGTACCGCTTCTGATTAAAGGGTCATGTGACTAAACTATTCTCTGTTTCGTAAATTTTCTCCCATAATGAATTAGGTTGAAGAAAGGAGTTGTGACTTGGATTTCTCTTTGAGCTGCTTTACTTGATAGATAATTGTATATGAAGGAGCATCCAATCATATGAATTCCTACTGTAGTGTGGAGTAGTACAGTCCAGATACGATTTTCTGTCTTACTGAGAATTGAGTGTGCAACTTGCCAATTATCACTTTCCACCCACCAGCTTCATTATTGAGCAGAGGGTTGCCTAAAATTGTCACATAACATACCCAATACTGTCTGTTCCCCAATATTAATGACATAGTGGATTTTAATTTAGCAAGTTCTCCAACATCCTAAGAAAGGAGGATGCCTAACTCTTATTTTATAAAATAAAGCATTTTATGTGAGAACCTGGGAATTGGTCATGTTGAATTCGATGTTCAGCTTGTTTTTCCTTCCTTTCTACTAATAATGACTAGATAAATGCATCAGGACGGTCAGTGCTCAGAACTTAAAGGCTCCAGATGATGCCAAGCACCTCATACAACATCAGAGGATACCATTTGTCTTAATATCTGTTGAAGTTTGAACATAAGAGCACCCCTGAGTCCCCAAAAGTTGGGTTACAACCTGCCTTCTCTAGCCAGCATGACTGGGGTTAAGTGTGATAGCAACTATAGTCTAAAAACATGATGAGTGTTCATGTCTGGTAAAAGCTTGACTAGCAACTGTTGCCATATTGGCCAGGATCCATTGTTTGAGGCTGTTTTCATCTATGGGAAAAAAAGTAGAGAAGACATGATAGAGAGGTATTAAAACTATGAATGGTGTGAGTGAGTAGATTGGTGGAGTTTTCTTTCTTTTTTTCTACCAATAGAATTCACGTCTGTCTGTTGAAGCTGAATGGTGGAGAGTCAGGGCAGATAAGAGGAAAGAGTTCTTCCAGCAGGGCATACTTAAAACTAGAATTTACTACCATGAAATGATGGCTATCAACTTGAATAGCTATAAAGGGGGATTGGACAGTTTTGTGGAAGATGGGGCTTGCAGTGGTTCTGTCTAGCATCAGAAGCAGTCAGTAACTGTATCAGCTGCTGGAAAGCATAAGGGAGGAGGGGATGTAGTTGCATTCACATTTTGCTTATCAACTTCAATTTCCAATAGGAAATTAGTTAGCCAGTGCTGGACTAAAGAAGCCTTTCATCTGATTTATCCAGTTTACTCTTAAATTCAACTAACAATATGGCTAATTATGGTTATCCAAGGAACATCTGGACTTGAATTTCCCTATATATTCATGACAGTGTCTTTTGGAATAGAGAGAAGTTCAGTGCATTGCTTCATATATCATTGGGCAGGAGGCAGAGAAAAGTGTCAAATTCTAGGCATCTTGTAAGGTCATAGGCGTGCCTAAAATAACTCTTCTGAGCATAGTGTGCTTACACAATCAAACATTTTTAAAAAGGTTTAATCTCTGCTAACAATCAGTCCATAGCTTGATTATGCGCAGTGAGTGCCACCTTTTATTTGTGTTGAGCTATCAGTTTTAGTTGTTTAAATTTAAGTCTTAAGTAAATAGCTTTCTGTTTTAACCCTGTCTCTATAACTATACATAAAGGCTCAGATCCTATGATAGTTAAGAAGAAAAGCTTTCCATCCCATCCCTGTGCAGTTACTTGAGTCCATCCCAACATCTCTGCATGGAGTCAGGGCCCATCTCAGTGAGAGTGCTGTGATTGCTGGGAAGAAAAGTGGGTGGACTTTTAAAAAATCTCCTTAGGTTGATTTAGGATCCAGATCAGGGTTTCTTTGATTCCATCTCATCTCTCCTGTACTTCTAACAGATTTTGCTTCCTTTTCTGAGAATTCCAAACTCTGGTTGCTTTGTTAATGTGGCTATGCTGAGAGTACAGCACTGTTACTGAATAGCTAATAGCTCTGTAAACAATGCAGGTCTTCTAAATTGCTCAGTTTGCAGTCTTCCTACCCTGTTAGCTTTTCATCCTGGTCTAAACTCTGCCTGTATCAAAGGAAATTGATGAAGGAAGTTGAAACTCCATCTCATAGCAAACCAAAAAAACCACAAGGCTTCGTAATATTGCTTCAAAATACAGTTGTCCCTCTGTTTTTGGATACTTGAAGTCCGTGACCCTCACTTATCTTGAGGGACAAACAGAGGGACATAAAATGGAGTGCACTCCCTCAGCGTGCTGCTCGCCCCCATGGCACGCACCTGCTTGCCACTGTGGGCATGCACTTCCATTCAAGCCAATAGGGCTTGAATATTTGCGTTTTCCCTTTTTCATGGGGGGTCCGGAACAGATCCTCTGTGAAAAAGGAGAGGTGACTGTATACAGTGGACGCTGCTATCTGACACTGTGCTTTTCAGTTTTTATAATGCCACTTACATTGTGCACTAATGCTTGAATTACTGCTTTTTAAAAATTGCTTTTGTAAGCTTTTTGTCAACATTGTAAGAAATCTTAATGGTTTGTAGAGAACTGTTATGGTAGAAATTCATTTAAAAGAGTTGCTGCAGTGTTTGATCACTCAACTTTTTTTATGACTTTCAACAACTGTGGCAGTAATCAGTACTGGTATGCAAATTGTGTTAATGTTCTCAATCTTGCAACAGGGCCTGGTGTTGATGTGCCTGCTCCTGATATGAGCACAGGTGAAAGGGAGATGTCGTGGATTGCAGACACCTATGCCAATACCATAGGACACTATGTAAGTTTTGAGTGAATGACTGTGCTCGATTTAGGCAATATTGGCTAGCACATTATCCTGTAGCACCACTGTGCTGGTTTCAGTTCAAAACATTATGAACATATAATGATGACTTCCCCCTTGATTGCAGAATGTAGTGTGGTTTGTGAGGCTTTTTTCTGTAATGCAAAGTGGAGACAGTTCATATCACCCAGAGCATATTGCAGACTGCACCTGCAGTGTCAAATTGCTACTGAATTCCAGCAGCAGTACAGGAAAAGCCATTAAATGTAGAATATGCTACAATATGCACATATTATCCAGACCCCATTCCACTTATTCACAGAGGAGAAACAGTATAAAATCAAATAAGCTTTTTAATAAGACACTTCAAGATAAAACATTCTAATGGATTTAACTTGTGATTTTTGTTGTTATTAATTGCATTTATATGTGGTCTTTCTCCCAGAATGAGATCTAAGGCAGCTCACACACAATAAAAAAAACTAGCTAAACATAACAATCAAATTAAAAAACATTTAAAAGTCCACTGTTTAAAATAATAAATTAAATAATATAAAATTATTTTTAAAGATACCAAAGTTAAAACTAGAGTACCCACTTCCATAAAAAGACCCCCCTGCATGCTATTAGTCATTAAAAGCCTGCATGAACAAGAAGGTTCATAACCACCATGAAAGGGGAACAGAGAGGACGATAGCTTATATTGCCACAGACTGAGAATAGCCACCAAGAACGTCTCACTGGTATCATCATCAAATGGACCTGTGATGGTGATAGGCCCTAGAGAAAGCCTTCCCTTAAGGGTATTAAGATTCTGGCATGTTTGTATAGGGGGAACACACTCTTTTAGATAGTCTGAACCTAAGCTTTCTAGGGCTTTCAAGGTCCTGATCAGCACTTTGAATTGTGCCCAGAAATGAACCAGTAGCCAGCAAAGCCATTTTTAATAAGGGAGCTCCCTGTGAGTGGTCTCAGTCAGCATTCTTACCATAACATTTTGGACCTGATGAAGTATTTGAACAGTTTCCAAAGGCAGCCCACTCAGAGTATGTTATAAATGGGAAGTAATCGGGGTGTGTGATACCATAGCCAGATCTGATTTCTCAAGGATCTGATGCAACTGGCACACTAGGTTTAACTATGCAAATTTTCGCCTGGTCACTACTGAAACCTCGCCATCCAGGCTCCAGATTGAGGTCAGGAGAACACTCAAACTGCAAGCCAGACATTTTCAGGGGGAGTGTTAAGTGTTTCCTTTA